TAACGGACGGTATAAGCTAAGCTAAAATTATCTAATTATCTATTTCAGTTAACGTTGCAGATTGCGTTGTTCCTTAAATTTCTGATTTGAATCCAGCTTATTAGTTTTTGCAGGCTGTTAGAGCAATATTTATAAAAACTAAAATTTGAACTTTCGATTATGTTGAAATAGAGTTTCTAAATCTGGAGCTGCCAACAAGATCTGCAAAGCGAAAGCATGTTTCGATGTCCATTAAACAAAAAGTGGAATTGCTGCGAAAAATGGATAAAGGCATGAAGAAAGTGACAGAGAGGTGATTTGTTTCTCTAACCGCTTTTGTTATATTCTCAGGTAATTAGGTTATATACAGGCAAAATTTTAAATAGTCTTTTTAGACTTCGATCAGAAACACAAAATTTCCTCTGTGATTCAAAATTTGAATTGTAAAAAAATTTTAGTGAATTACAGTTAGCTCATTTAGCTGATATTTTTGGAAAGTTAAGTGAATTAAATTTAGGATTACAATGACAAAGTGTAAATTTGTTTACCATGAGAGATAAAATAAATGCTATAATAAAAAAAAAAAACTCGAGCTAACAATCAAAGAATTGGATAATAATATTTTAAGCTTTTTACTACTTTTAGAAACTTTTCTAACTGAAAATAATTTGAAAATAAAAGAATTAGCATCTGACATTAAAATCATTGTTTTTCATTGATAAATAATTTCAACATGCATTTTCCAAAGGATTACAAAAAAGAAAATTGTGTGAAAAAGAAAATTGCAAATCCATTTTGTTCAAGTCTTGAAACTTTGTCTCACTTAAAAAAAAAAAAAAAAAAAAAAAGACAATTGATAGAAATTTCACGTAACCGAACTCTAATTGAAGGTTTCAAAAATAACACACTTTTTAACTTTTGGTTGAAACGAGAAAAAGAATTTAAAGGTATTTCAAATAAAGCTATTAAATTTTTACTGCCTTTTTGCACAACCTAATTGTGCAAACAAGGATTTTCTTACATGTTATATTTGAAAAATAAATACAGAACAAAATTAAAAGTGGAACCTATTTCCGGTTAAAACTTAAGTGAAATAAGACTAGACATAAAAAAAAATTGATCTTTCTTAAATAGGACAAAATTTTGCACTAAATTTTAGAATTAAAGTATTATAATTGGAATTTTGATAACTAAAATGGTAGACAATTTTTAATCTAATATTTTTTATGTGTACATATTTAATATGAATAGCTAATAGGTTGTGCAGAGGGCAAAATGTACAAATTTTTTAAATATTTCTATTGAGAAATTAAAAAACAATCATTATAAAATATAGTGGTGGTACTACAGTTTTTCAATTTTGTTTAGATCATTAGTACTCAACAGGGGCAGTAGAAGGATGCTGAGGAGTGATGAACTTGTTTTAGGTGGCACAGGGACAGGGATCATGTTTTGGGCAGTAGGGGGCAATAAGCATGTTTTGGCATTCAAACCTCATTTTAAAACTCCCCCAAAAATTTATTAAATCGATTATCTGATTTAAACCATTTGTACCAGCAATAAAACGAACTTATGCAGCAACTCCCCTCATGCAATTCTAAGAATGACGAGACGAAAAAAATTCATTCTGACAAACAAAATAAAAATTTGTTTTTCATGAACATCACAGCGAGTTTCTGAAGGCACCTCCGATCTCAGGGTTACTAGCAACCTCATTAAACAATCTACTAATTTTGATATAATATCAAAATTAATTGTTAAATCGGTGACACCTCAGACCATGGGCAAAGAGTTGATACAAAAAAAAAAAGTCAACTCCAAATAATGAAAGGAGTAGAGTTGCACCTTTCATCTCTCTAAAAATATTGAACTGAATGTTCAGAAACTGGCTCTGAACTATTAAGCACACACATCTGGCTAATCATACTTGGATCGTTTCATTGATATTACTTTTCAGTTTTTTTTTTTTTTTCCCCCTGTTCTTCCTTAATAATTTAATCAAGAATAAAGAATTTTTAAACATAAAACATCACTTAAGCAATTTTTCTAGCATTAGTAACTTCAGTTTTAACAAAAGGAATGCAATTAATTACCTTCCAGGTGAAACTATCACATTAAATCAGAAAATTTGGTGTGTAAGACTACTGAAAAAAATTACTTCAAATTTTTGCCTTTTATAATTCAAGAACCCCGTTTCCCATACCTAAATTACAGAATTTTCACAAAGGAAGGCGTTGAAAAATTTTTTGCTCCTTAAGGGGAGGCTGCTTTGAAAAGCTGAGAATTACTGGTTTAGAGGATACGCAATTATAAAAAGGTTGAGAACTGCTGCTATATGCCATTCTTGCCACATATGTTGTAATGTTTTACTATTAACTGTTTGTTAAGCAGCAGAGATGCACTGTTTAAGCAAACGTGGTATGAACACAAGATCTTTGACATATCCCCAAAGGATGAAGTCACATGGGATTAAGTCAGGTAGGTGACCTACGAGGGTAGCTGTGCAGGACCAAATCATTGGTTGCACTGTGCCCAAGCCAAAGGTGAGCAGTTCTTTGTTTAGAAATTTATGAACCTCCAAATGTCAATGGGGCGGTACACCATCTTTTAGAAAAATGAAATTTGCCGCATCTTCCTTCAACTGAGGAAAAAGCCAAACGTTCGGGGTAGGAAACCCTAGTCACTGATTTTTCAGCAAAAAGAACGGCCATAAACCTTTGATGAATATACCACACAATAGACGCTTATTTCTGGGTAATCCCTTATGTATTCAAGGCAGGCAGGGGGATTTTATGATCCCCAAATTCACATAGTATAGTAGTTTATTTTGCCACTTAAATGGAAGGTAGCTTCATTGCTAAATACGAGTTAATTGCAAAAATGTTCATCTTGCATAGCTTTATCCATGAAAAACAATAGTTTAGACATTGCAACTTGTCACTTGGCTTCAGTGCTTGCACGTTTTACAATTTGAAAGGCTTAAAATGCAATTTTTTTTCTCAACACAATCCAAACGGTAGATTGAGGTATCCCAAGTTTACAATTAGCACAGACTGTTGATTTCTTTAAACTGTTTAAAAACGTCTTTTGCACTCTTTCAACATTCTTTGCTGAAAACACCTGGTTGCCCTGGACTTTTGCCTTTACAGACATATCCAATTTCAACTAGTTGTACCATCTTTTGATACTCTTGAGATTTGTATGGAGTTTTCCTCTAAATTCTAGCCGAATGGTGATTACTGACTGACTTTTTGCAAAAGAGAGCACATAAACAGATTTGTCCACTTTAGACACCATTCCCACTTCTTTCCAAAACTTCAAAAACAGCTTAATGGTAACAGTGCTGCCATCTATTTCAAACAAACAGCATTACTGACTAAAAAATCTAACATTTTACCTTTTTACAATGACATATTAATTATAATTTTCTGTTTACAAATTATGAAAAGTATTAAATTTTGTAATTGGGTATTTCCTTCCCGATAACATTGTATTGTTTAATACAATTTAGTAAGCAAATTATTTAAAATAAGCATATCCCAACATTTTTTTAATGAACATTTTCTAGCGGCCACAGTTCAACAACTGTAGCAAATTATGTGTCAGACATACTATCATAGTTAGCATGTTGCCTGAGCATGAATTATGTTAGGTACAGGTTGAAGCAAAACTGCCATACATGTCCATGGAGGCATATAAACCTGTGCATCCATGTAGTTATATTAGGTATCCCTGAGCTCTGCTAACTGCTAAGCATCTACTCCTATAAAAATTACAAGGGAGAACACCCCAGAGGGTGGTATGAGCATCTCCCATTCCTTATCACCAAACTTTCGAGATAATTTTTAATTTGCCATGTATTTTTAGTGTCTTCTTGCCACACAGATACTATATGCTAATAAATATCCCTGCTTTCACTAGGATTCGAATTTGGGCCCTTCAGCATGGCAGCTAGCATGACCAACTACTATCCCATCAGGTAGGCATTCTGCAAGGTACCAATCACAAAGGGTATCTTTCACTATTAAATCCTTATAATAATTTTACTCATACCTTATGAGCATCACACTTTCTTTTTCTGTTGAAAGCAGAGTGAAAATAGTAAGCATATTAATATTAAATATTTAATAACTTTGACCTTTCTCCAGAATTATTATCTGTAACATGATCGTTTTTAAATAACAAAAGAAAAAAAACTGTATCTATTTTAAAACAGAAAATTTTCATTAGCTGAAGAAATGTTAATCTTGTGCCCATGCACAAATCAATAGTCTTTTGCTGATGCTGAACTATGCATATTAACTTTTTAATCAAGAAAATTAATTTTTTTAAAGAGAAAATTTTCACAAACTAAAGAAACATAAAACACATGCAAATCAGTAAATGTCTGAATATTAACAATGAAAAACTATTTAAAAAATTTTTATTAACTGAAGAAATGCTAGCTACCTATTTGCACTTGCAGAAACTGGTAACTGTTTCATACCAAGGTGAAAGCATGCCAATTTTTCTTTCTTACTATGAACATTCTAAGAGATGTAGTAAAACATGTTATATCATGCACCTAAGATTTTTCCATTATTTACCGTGCTTGGATACTAAATATTATACGGTAGTCACATGAAAGAAAAAAAAGAGAAAAAAAAAATCAGTTTAAAAAGGGTTTATTTTACATTAAACTGTACAAAGAAATTGACAGATTTAATACAGTGTTGATGTAACAGCACGATCTTGTTATTTCACTCCAAAATTAAACTTGATTTTGGTTTATATTTATCAAGAAATGTAATTAAAATTAATAATGCAGTTTTATAAATAAAAAATTATATAAAAACTTTTAATAGCCGTTTAGCATTACATCAGAGATAAGCATTAGCATGATAAAATATTTAAAGCCTGTATGTAATAAGTGAAATCAGTATTTATGAAAAATAATGCAAAATGTGGCATTGGAAAGGAATTGAAATAGCAGTGGCTCATAATCTGAGATGCAGAATATGATCTGCTGAATTTCTGCAGCTGTTTACTGAAGGTACTGGATATAATCAGAACTCATCATCAGAATCCAGTGCTGCTCTTCTCCTATCAAACTGAAATTAAACATGAAACTGGTTAACTTTTACTTTTTATCAATATGAAAAGCAATAATTAGCAATCAAATTATTTCAAAAAAACAGGTCACACACATGAAGTTATATGCTGTAAGAGCTTTGAATATAAATAAAATTTATTAATCACAAACATGGATGATCAAATTATTAACTATCAAGGTTGTATTCTAAATTTTTATCTTGAAATAATAAAGTGATTTAACTAGGTTATTAACTCTCCTGGTTCTCTTTAATTCACAATGTAAAACATTAAAACATCTTTTAACACATTACAACTTTTCAGAGTAACCATGTTATGTTAATAAGGGACTATAACAAGGCATAAGTCAAAAACTGCAGGAATGTATTTCATTCCTGTTCTCTTTTTGCTTCTCTGCTTAGCAATGAATTGCAGGCAATGTTTGGTCATTTCTATTTTCAACTTAGCATCTCATAATTTCTGCATATTTTTCACATGCACTCTCTTCCTCTATACATTTCACATCCACATTAATTAACTGCCCTCCCTTCCAAAAATGCCATATTTTGAATATTCTATCCTGGAACTACCGCTCATGGAAATTGTAGATTTGAATCAATTACTCAATGAAGTAAGCAAATTTTAAAAAAAAATTTATTAAGCTAGATTTTCAAACTACTTTAAATAACTTCAAACTACTTTAAATAAAAGTGCCCATAAGATGTCACTGAAAATCTCTGAAAAATAGAATATATTTGTTACAAGTTACAAGCTTAAACACAGCCTGCTGAATGATATATTGAATCATGGCCAAATGGACTGAGATTCTTGAAACGGTTGTTAATAAAAGACATGCATATCTAAATGCACACTTTACAGCTTGATCACATATTGTGTTATATCACAGGTCTTAAAAAAAAAAAAAAAAAAAAAAATCATGTCTTACAATAGCAAAGCAGCAATGTATATCAGCCTTCACTGATGGCACCACCTGCCAACAAACTTTGCTAATCAAAACTTGGAACTACTCTGATATGCGCCCTCAAGTCGCCAAATTTCTCGCCAAACATTTTTGGCGAGAAACTTCACGCTGCCATATTACTATCTAAATTTTTTGTCTATATTTCGAACTTTAAGCCTAAAATGTCTCCAAAAATGCAGTTTTCGCACATGCAAAAACTACGTTTTGAACACACGATTTAAGCTAAAAAACCGAAACAAAAACAAAAAATTTAGATAGCAAAAATGTCAAGTTTCTAACCAAAAATATTTGACAAGAATCCATGTACACAGCGACATGCTTTAACTTAAAAAAAGTCTACGAATTGCACAATTTAGGCAAGGAACGAATCTACGATCTACGCACACCTCGCTTTAGTAAAATAACATAACAATAAATTTCAAATAATACCATGTACACAGCGTTTTGTTTCAAAAACAACAACGACAGAAATTCATACTAAATAACCAATGAACATAACATTCTACAAAATAAGAACAAGAATAAAATAAAATGCACTTACTATGAATTAATGCTTTTTCGAGCAGCAGAAATGCCAATTTCATACCGCCTTTAACGCCGCCACGTAATCACTATCGTATTTACATGACAGTTAGACACACTCCAGAAAATTCATACTATGGTTCCCAAACAAAAATAAAATCACAAATCCCTACTTCTGTCATGCATAGGCCATTAAAAATAATCTCCCAAACCCTTCTTTCCACACCTCCAAATACCCGCTACCCCTCAACAGGAGGCCCACAATGAATATTTCCTTTTGCCGAACTTCAATTCAACAACTTCTTTATCTTTCCCTCCCATCTTCTCAGACACAGACGCGAATCAACGAGCTCCAGCTAAAGATTGTTCAACGTCAACAGGGTTGCCATAGAACACGCAATCGCGCCAAAAACCAGCGCAGAACACATATCGCCTCATTTGGTGAAATTAGGGCGTATATCAGAGTTGTACCCAAAACACTAACAGCAATTCGTTTGCACAAAAAATAGAGGTGATGCTGATAAATAACAAAGGTAAAACAAGAACAGAACTTATGCCTTATGTTTGTAACATTTTACACTCATACGTAATATTACTTCATTTATACAGTCAAAAGTCTTTAATCCGGACCTCAAAGCTACAAACTTTCTGCGCATACATAAACACAAAATGTGTTTACGTATGCACATAATACCTTTACACATGCGCATAATACGTTTACGCCTGCATGTTTAATGTAAAACGGATGGTATAAGCTAAGCTAAAATTATCTAATTATCTATTTCAGTTAATGTTTCAGATTGCGTTGTTCCTTAATCTTCTAATTGGATCCGGCTTATTATTTTTTGCAGACTGTTAGAGCAATTTTTTAAAAGTAAGCTTAAACTTTCGATTATGTCAAAAAGAATTTCCGATTCTGGAGTTGCCAAAGGATCTACAAAGTGAAAGCATGTTTCGATGTTCATCAAACAAAAAGTGGATTTGCTACAAAAAATGGATAGGCATATCCTTTGTTTCTCTCAACCATTGCGAAATCTGTTTATCAATTTCACGCTGCTCTGTGGCCATGGGGGGGACTTCTTCCAAAAAACGGATGAACTCCTTATCATCAATGAACTGGAAGTTGATCTGTCAGCACTATCCTTATCTTCAGGGCAGATGTTTTTATTTTATTCGGCTTATAATTACTTACTAAATGTAGTATTTCATCTCGATGTACTCTGTCTTTGATATGATTTAAATCAAATTTTTCGTCATTATAAATATCACGAATACACATCAAATAGTTTTCTGGTTGCAATTTTCTAATTTCGACTATGCGCAATGTATGCTTTACGCATGAGGGTGTTGAAAGAAATGTTTAATGAAGTAAACAAATAAATATTAAGTTTTTTTTTGTAAATTTTGATACCCTTTAGATCATAATTGCTCTTTATTTCATAAATTACAGTTTCATATTTTTAATCTTATAATTTCTGCATGCCATCTTACCAGATTTAAACTGATTATCTATGATCCAGTAAAACCGATAATCCGGAATTGCCGAAGTCCCGATGAGTCCGATTACAGACTTTTGACTGTATATTAATATTTTAATGATACATTGATTATGGCATATTCCAAAGTTTATTTTAAGTGTCACTCTGAATTTTGTTACTAATAAAGGGTTTAGTGTTACAATACAAAAAATAATTAAAAATCTTACATAAGCAGATATTAATCATGGGAATTATCAAATGTGAAACTTCAGTAGTATGATAGTGAAGTACAAGGATTATTATGAAAAGTAAATACATTAAATATAACAATACCTTCACTGTAGGTGTATTATGTTTTACTTGACGATTGACTTCTTCCAAAAGATGGATGAACTCCTTATCATCAAGCTGCAAAGTCAATCAAATTTCTCATGAAATTATTTAATATGAACCTACATTTTTATAAAAGATACAGATCAAATTCAGATGTTAAAAAGACATTATAAAATTTATATGTGAAAAAATTAGCTTTGGAGAAACAAGCTTTAGCTCTCTAGTTGTTGCTCCACCTATTGTGGCACCATTTATTTTAGTGAGGATAATAGCTGTGTTGTTACTTATATCAATGGCCTTGTACTGTATAGGTAATCTTAGAGGGTCGAACAATAAACTGCTGATAGGAAACTGAAGACTGTACTAAAAAGTCAAAATACATTGGACCAAATATGGCGATTTCTTTCTTAATGCAAACACTAGCTGGTTGCCTAGTTGTCACCGCTTCTGACTCTGCAGTACATCTTTGATTTCTAATCAATACTGCTGAGTTTGAACCATAGGTCATTTATGCAGTAGTAGTGCTGTAATGACTCTCATTATAAGCTGCCCCCATAATACTGGAGCACCAACAAATGAAAACTAAAGCCAGGTTCATAACAAATTTGAAATACTTGCTTTAGTCCTGTACTTGAAAGTTACTACTATACAGTGCAAATTATAAATTTCAAACAATTTTCCTACATCTCTAAACCAATTATTGCCTCACCAGTACCTAAGGGGTTAAAACAGCTGAATACCAGTAGTTCAAACTGAATTTAAACTCAGGTGAATGAGCTGGCTGATGACTGTTTTCATGGTTTTTACCATGTGCAACATAAATGTAAGCCAGATTCCCTTAGAAAGTCTTCTATGAAGGCATCTTTCAACTTAAGTAGTTAGCTCTCATGTGCTTTGCTGTATTCAAATAACTAATAATGATGAATACTAATAATGAAACAGTACAATCCAGTGAATTAAATTGATGTGAATAAGATATCAAATATTAACAATTAATCGAAGCTAATTCTCATTCACTTCTAAAGGTAATAAATTACAATTAAAACTTTGAAAAGAGAATATAGGTGTCAGAAAAAAAATCTAATCATAATAAACTAAAGTTTTATTCAGAAAAGTTAAATTAATTTTAAATTCTACATTTCAAAATCCAGTCTGACAGAAATTCAAGCAATCAAAATCCTACTATATGTACTTTATGCACAAAAGGCATTTAAAGTTATTCTGCATGAACATAACTTTACATGTTATTCATTCATATGATATATTAGTTGTGAGAAAATTTCCTAGTAAACTTATATATATACTTTGTGCTGCCTAATGAACAGTTTGAACCTTGTAGCATACTTTTCCAAGAGCTACAAAATTTTGGCTTTTCCAGAGCAGTTTGAATTCTGTTTTCTTTAGCAAGACCACTGTTTGGTCATCCTTAGAATTCAGTTAGCTCACACATAGAAAGTTGTGTTAAGATTTCAGTAAGTTTGCATTTTTTAATTATTGTTTCAAATAGGTTTTCAATTTTTTAGCTGTTTAAAGCTCATTTAACCATTTTATTTATAGAAATCTCCAAGTACAGTTTTTCATTTTCTTGATGTTAAAAGTTTAGTTTAGTATAATTGAAGACCTCCCAATTTTTTAGTTTGTTTAAATGACTATTAGTTTTGCTCCTGATTTACTCTTGATTTTGAGTTTCGGATTAGCATATATTGGTTTTAGACCAACCCCCCTTTTTTTTTTTAAATTTCTATGTATATAATGTAAAGTTCTATGGTTTTTTAATTGTCATTTTGGCACTACGTAATGTTTTATTCATTTTTCTAAGGGTTTCGAAAACGTGTAGGGAAAATTCTGGTACATTCAAGATTCGAGTTTTTGGTTTTATATGAATTTTAAAGTCTTGAATAAAAATTTGATGAAATCTTTTACAGTTCTTGATCTTAAATGGACCAGGAGAATCAAAACATATTAATTTACTTTTATGAAGCTTTAATTCATTTTCCCTGGTGAGTTCTGAATTGGAGTTTCAATAAAAGGAGATTAATTTTTATTTGTATAATTTTGTATATCTTCTCTTTCACAATTTTATTTTTTGAAATTGTTCAACTATGAATTCTTTCTTTAATTGGATTAGTTTCAATATTGTGTTAAACCTCTTATACATGGCTGCAATTATTATATTATAGAGGAACTGCCTAGCTTTTATTCCAATTTACTAATTTATTTAGATGCTTTAAGTTTATATATATATAATTAAAGATATTCTTCACATAATTAATCAACAGAGATAACTATGGAAAAATTTAGAATTCTCTTTTTATTATTTACCATTTTTCTAGAGAAGATTCTATAAATGATTATACATACAAAACTGGTACACGATTTAAAATATCAAGTAATGTCATTATATTTATAAATGTCTCTATTAATGTCCTACTATTTTAAATTAGTGAGCCAATTTTTTAAGCTAAAACATAGCAAATAATTTGTAAGTACCATAAAAAAGAATAATTACTTTCCTGAAAATATTGTTTAATAACAATGGTTGCAGATATATAAGGTAGCATACAGTTATACAGGAAGATTGGATGATAAACAGACCATATTTATAGTTATTCATTAATATGAGTAATCGGATTTGAGGGACATGAAACCTCATATACAATAAATTTCTACTGAGTGCATACTATGCTTTTTTACATGAATGCTGAATATAGTTAAAAACTATAAAAAATATCATCGTTATTGCATCTAAACTTACATAGCACACCCACAGATTTTCTGGTGTTCTCTTCCGACTACAAAACCTAGTCTAACAATAACATGTCTGATAGCGTTATTTTATGTAATATTATTTAAATTCTAAATTTCAATTATTAAAAGACCTGGCTTTTAAAAGTAATATAGTTTTCTAATGGCACCTCAACACATATAAAAAAGATGTTATAGCAAGTAATCATGATAGTGAAAAAAATTTAATTATCAGTTTGGGGATCAATCATTGTAGTGAAACAGTTGTTATTACTCGCAATCATTGTAGTGAAACAGTCGTTATTACTCGCAATCATTATAACAAGCACTGATTGCATAAAAGATTAATCTGATTACAGAAAAACATTAATTTCTGTTTTAAAATAGTATTTCTAATCAATGGCCAAACAGAAAATCATTTGGAATTATTGGAATCTGAAAAATGAAAATACGATCCCTAATCTAATGTCCTCACAGCCTAGCAAAATTAAGAAAATAGCAGTGTCATATAATTGCTAAAATAATATCATAACTTCATAATGACATAAAATATCATTATATTTACATTATTCATAGCTCAAATAAAGCTTTTAAACAGCTTTTATTTTGAAAATAGGAAACATATTGTAATTCATGCATGAAGTGTAACAGACATCTATATCCCACATATATCTGAAATATGCTATCCCTTCATTTGGGTTTTTAATTACTCTACTGTGACCTTCCAGTAAGACAGCAAAATCCGAAACCAAAATCTTTCTCCTGTAAATGAATATAAATTATTTTTAATCATGAACATAGTTTCAGATCATTCAACTATGTGCAGATACATGCTCATATAAAACTGTAAATCATTACCTGGGATCGTATCCGCCCAGTTCTAGCCATATTAATGACCATATTTTCTAACATTTTCCCAGTTTCTGGTTTAGCTATTGATATTGTACTCACTATAAAGAAACAGAAAAAATTAGCAATTACAGGTAAACATGCATTAAAACTAATCCTCTAAAATGACATTTTTTAGAGCTAAATATCCATAGCTAAATCAACATAAGAATATCCAAAGAAAAAGGAAAAAAATTATATACTAAGATATAAAAAAAAAAAAAAAAAAATTATATACCAAGATATAAATAAAAAATTATATACCAAGATATAAATAAAAAAAATTTATACCGAGATATAAATCAAAACTTACAATATCAAACAAAAGCTTTTTTAAACCTTTAAAAAAATAAAGCCATGCAAAACAATATTTAAAAAACTTCAAATATATTCTTACATCTACCACGTGCTTCTTTTGATAACACTTGAGTAAGAATCTGATTTTTGAATTCTTCTTCTTTTGCTTTTTGTTCTTCAGCTGCTGCTTGATCTCCCTGACTTCCCTTAAAAAAATTTAAGAGATTTTAAATGCAAGAAATGAAACATTTTTAAACGGGGGAAAAAAAAAAAAAAAAAAAAAAAAGGGCTTTTTAGGCTTATTTCAACATTTTGTCAATTTATTGGTATCTACACTGAATGATAGAGAGATTTCATATTTTACTTACTTAAAATGTGAAAGAATTATATTTTTCAAATGAGTCGCATATTAGACTTTCTCGTGAAAGTTTCTTGATCTGAGGAAGCGAAACCATCCTAGCAAAAATTTAGAAAATTTAATTATTTACATATTTGTGACAATGGTTGCAGGATGTTGATGAGCTGCCACTAGTTTTTAGATCTTTTTGGCCTTGTCGCACTATCTGTTTTTTTGGTAATCAAGACCACTTTATTACAGGCCAATGCGGTTCAGAGTTACTAATGATGATGTTCACCTATATATGGCATCTGTAATGCTTAAAGCCCATAACTGCTCTGCTCATGTCAGGACAGAATCTCTTAGCTACTGCCCATAGCACAATGCTCAAGTTGGTCACATTAAAACAGCTGTCTTACAACGAAAAATTTGGAGCAATGCACTTTCTACATGGAAAATAATGCCACTACATATCTAAAATTTTATATAATTTATAGGAAAGATGCCTTGGTATTTGTATATTAATTGCTATATATAGCTTAAATTGGCTTCAAGATACGGCAACAACTTGCCAATAAATATCTCCTTGCCATTAGCCAACCATGCCCTTAATCTTTGCAACTTTAACATACTGAATGAGTCTTAAAACAGAACAACAATGAATGATTGAGTAAATACATTACAATGTGACAAGACTTTATCTAGAGGTGTTAGAAGTATCCTCCATTGAATTCAGGGCACATGTTCAGACAAAACATGATCAAATTTGTGAAGGTTGTTGCTGTACACTAGTCCCTTTACGACTTTCAACAAAAAGAAAGGTACTAATTCAGAAGTCAAACAACAAAAAAGAAAGGTACTTACGTATTATCGCAACCAGGTTGGCACGATTTGTAAGTTTGAGTAAAAAAGTATGAATAGAAAGAAAATGTACATTTATTAATTACAGATAATTTTTAATACAGTTTTTTACATTATTTTGTTTTAAAATATAAAATAGCAATTAAACCCTTCCAGTTTCGAATTTGAATAAGTTGCAGAATTATTTTTTCGGCGGAAATCTTTTGGCTTTTTCCAATTTCCGGTTCTCACAACCAAATGTTGATTGCACTCTTCGACGTTACATTTCCAGAAGATTTGCTTTCCAAATTACAGTTTCATTTTATGAGAATTTTTACAAGTACGTTCGTTCGGTATAATTCCATATCCCTGCAACAATTCAACAGCATCTTTTACACTCACAGGCAGATCCCAAATACCCAAAGTTAAAGTATTTCAGGGCATTCAATCTAACCAGTAAGAAAAATAATTTCTTTACGAAAAACTACGTATAACACGTAAGGTTGCCGTAAGTAGGGTCGCCAAATTTGACGATTTATGCGAATTTTGGCCTGGTTGTGTTAATACGTAAGTACCAAAAGAAATCAAGGGGTGATAAATCTGGCAAAAGAAGTGCCACACCTGATGTTATGGTCAGATAAAAACACTACTTACTGTACATGATTGTTGTATGTACTGCTAGCACCATGGCTCCATCCTCCTAACAGCTAGAAATTCCTTTACTCATCCTCAGACAGTTCTTAAAAAAATGAATTGACTATGTTGCTGATTTAACGAGTCAAGTTCACAGTCTTATAGAAGAACACAGGATGATGTGACATGACAGACACCAAATTTCTGAGCATGCAGTGGAACCTCCATGAACATGGATGGATTGTCACGTGAACAGTGTCACATGTTCTGAGAGCACATGTAATCTGACAGGCAGAACTATGCTTCATCGGAAATGAATAAGTAACCATCCTTAATGTATAATGGCAATTTTGAATGCCTGCAAGTTCGAGTACTGCTTCAGGATCCACATAATAGTTGACTGAGACACCAACAACAGCTATACTAAACACTGAGATGATTTTGTGGACTGCATATCATTAGATGTGTTTTGCCACCCATCTCTGCCTCAATGCAGACAGTCTTTAGATATATTTTTGGTCTATTATGCACGAACCTAGTTTCCTGTCATTTTGCAATCATTTATGCATTACTGAATTGGTTGAGAACCTCGCTGCAACTCCATCGGAAGAAAATTTGCATGATGAAAATCGAGGCATGCATATGTCTCAATAATACATATATGCTACCGCTCTATTAACACCATGCTGACCCACTGAACTACTCTCACAACTTTCCTCACTGCTAACACTCGATTGACCTACATGCTGGTTGCCTCAAGATCACTGGTAGACATTTCCTGCTCTTCTAGGTAGGTTGTCACACTATGCCATAATTATTCAATCAGTCATTAATTTAAACATGTTCCATGGGGCTTTTTTTAAAAGAATCACACTGCACATATACTAAGCCACCTTTTAAATTGTTTCTCAAATGAAACTATCCACTTTTTTCAGAATCACAGAATACTGTTTGTGATGCATTAGCATAACTACCTTACCAAATATTCAAAACACAGGCAAACCATAAACATAATAAGTCTTCAGTTAAAACAAATATTATCATTCAGGGTATTTTGGGGGAAGAGGGG